GGCTGTCACACTAGCTCGTAAACACACACACACACACACACACACACACACGCACAATATTCCCTCTTTTCCCCGCAGTACAATATCGCCCCCCCCCCCCCCCTCCCCTCCCTTCTTCTTCCGCTCCCGTCATCATCAGCCGGCCATGGAGACAGCAGGCTGGTAGGTGGTTCAACTATGTGTCATGCATTACATGCCAGTGCAGGGGAGGACTGACACAGAGCATGTGTTACACTTGCTCAGTTTGATGTGCTGTGCCCTCGCACAGGCACTCCTGTGGGCGGCATAGCTATGTGTCATAATCACCATCATCCTTTTGCTTTGTCGGTTTTCTCCTCATGTTTGCGTGGCTCGTGTGCGCGTGATTGTTTTTGCGCCGCCACGCCGGAGGTCCCTTTGTGGAGGTGCCGCGCGGTGGGCTCGCTCAGTGTGGGAGCTGCTGTGATACAGTGGAACTGATTCCTTTACTTCTGACCTCAATGTGCCTTTGTGTTTAGTGGCGTGTTTGATGCCTCGTGTTTTACATCAAGTCTTTAATAGAAACTATTCGCTGCATGGGTCATATGCACAGTGCACGTCTCATACAGATAATTACAGAATATGGAAAACACCAAAAATCCCCATTTAATCGGTGGCAAAGAAAAAACGTTAACTCAAGGTCACCCCACCAGCTTTTTCCTGGTCCTTTAGCAGCATCTATGGGCTTCCTTGCCAGATGGAGAGGAAATGAATTACTAGATCATTATATATACAAAACCCTGGAAAACATATTTTTAACCATGTTTTATCGGAACAAAAATGAACATTCACTAATAATCTTTGTAGTTGTCTAAAATAGTGAGTGGGTAATATCAATGGACTCAGTGATTCAGGTATCAAGTGGCAGCGTTCAATGTCAACCTTGCAGGACTAAGGGAGCGATCACCCAATGACTTGCTCTTCTTTTGCTGGGAAGAATGAAGCAAATTTGTTTCCTTTCCAGACAATCAAACCCAAATTCTTAACGAAGCCAGTGACCGCGACCCTCCATTTCTTTCCGTTTGCCATTGTTTTCTCTTTTACAGAAGCTTGACCATCAAACATTATGAAGATGTATACAAATCCTGTACATCCAAAATGTTTATAGCTTTATACAAGATTTTGCAAAAAAGGCTATTTCATTATGGTAAGAGACCTTCACCACTACCCTATTTAGGTTATTATTATTTCGGGTTATTATTTCGGGTTATGTCTAAATACCGCAAAGCTAATGACTCTGCTTTATCAGCCTCAGATGTACTTTGTGGTTGATGATAATAAGACTTCAGAATGCTGAACTGAGGTTGCGAACATGGTAAATATACCCGCTAAAACTGTCACTGTGTGCCTGCTAGCACGGTGTCATTTGGCTTAAAGCACCATTGTGCCTTTAGAATACCAACCAATCAGTACTGTAGGAGGAGTGCTTCTGACAAACAGGTGCTGTGATCAACACAATGGATGTGCGGTAAGGCACAATGGACGGGTGTAGTTGAGGCCGGCACCATTGATGCTGGTTTTATCATTGAAAGAACTCCTTTTCCGGGATATTTGCATCTTTGTCCAAACAGTTTTTTTTTTTTTGATGGCTCAGGTTACCAAACATGTCTGTGGGCAAGTCAATCTGGTTGTTGCCGTGGAGCTATAAATGAGTGAAGAAATTAAAAGGGAGTCAAATCCATAAGACTCTGGCAGAGAGAGGTGAGAGCATTATGGAGGGTTTCTCTGCGCGGTGGGTGCGATGTGTCATCCAGGGGGCGGACGGCATCCCTGCTGTGCACAATGTTGCCGTGTTTTTGTGTGTGTATCTCCACGAGGCCGAAAGAAGATGAAGGAACCGAGGAAGCAATTGTATTAAATAACTGGTACATGCTTATCTCTCCCAAAGCGCACTGATGTTAATTTCCGTGGAATGTTGGGATCCTGCTTTCATTCATGCATTTTATTGGCAAGGTGAAGGCAGCGAGAACAGAGTTGCTGACAGATACATATCTCACTTGATTGTAAACACCTCCTTAAAATTGAATTCACAGCAAAAATGTGAATTCATCAGATCTAAAGCTCTGGGAGGCAAGGTTTGCTTCAGACACCAGTTTCTATTTGCTTCATGTATTTAAAGCGGTTAGGAATCTTTTTTTGTGTTTATTATTATTTATTGTAGAAATTAAAGAATATACTTACCATGAACATAAAGACACCAACATGTTGTTGGTTTCTCAAGGGACGCAAACTGATTTGACTCTGTCAAACCTTAACACACACACATACACCTCGAAGTCACTGAAGGCATGACTGACAGTTCTGCCAGCTCCTTAGTTGATGACTTAGAAAGAAGCGCTTCACGAATCCGGTGCCTGAAAATTACCAGTTGAAAAAATTGCAGCCATCACACTAAAATAAATGGCTCAGTTTGTCTTGTTAAACTGCTCTTAGCTTTAATTTTCTCAATAAGCACTTGAACACACCGCACCGCAGTATGAGCAGAAGACACCGATACTCCCTCCATGTGTGGCTTTGTTAGAGGGCAGGAGGTCGAGGGGTGAGGCAACAGTAGCTCATACTGGCACACACACACGCACACACACACACACACACACACACACACACACACACACACACACACACACACACACACACACACACACACACACACACACACACACACACACTGCTGTTCAGGGAGAGAAACCTGATCTATCTAGTGGCACTTCACCACTGGCACTGTCTCTCACTGGCACCAATTACACACACGCACACATGAACACGCATGCATGCACACACACGCACGCACGCACGCACACACACACACACACACACTCTGGCAGCGTTCCTGGTCAAACTGACAGCTGGCGCTCTGTCTTCTCGTACCACTGACACAGTGAGGCCCTATTTGTAGCCAATTCCACCTTCACCCGGGTACCTGCAGTTGCCCCTGTGATAACTGACTCCTCATTTAACCAGATATGTTACTCTCCAGTTACCCGCTTTATGCCACAGTGTGGTTTTTCGTTTGTGGAGAGTGATTCATTTCAAAGATGAAAGATATGATCCCACAGAAAATAATTTGCACCCTCCTACAATGACTATCTGGTGATAGGATGACATTTTGACTCAGCTCTGTTACATAGCAACAACACGTTATTTAAGAGAAGCATGTGTGATTGTCTAATTTGGGAGTGAACAAGAAAAATAACAAATGTTTGAAGAGGGCGATTGATTTTTTTTCTTTGTTTTTTGGTGGTGAATGAGTTCCCCCACTGGGGAGTTTTCTAATCTAATAATTTAATCAAAGTATTCAAGATGAAACCTCAACATGAATCAAAGTCCATGCAGTTATGTATGAAGTACAATATTATCAAAGCTCTATAAAAAATCTGGTCAGTGGACATAGTTAAAGGTGAATGGGGGGATAATTTAGGGAACTCTTTCGGCAGAAGTTGAATGTAACATTATGCTTTCTGTCCTTGATAATCACTGTAATATTTTAGAATTAAAGTTTATACAGAGCAGGTCCTCTTCACAGAGTTGACCACGAGGTTCCTACAGTACCTCAAAACGGAAGAATAAGAACTTCCTGTTTTCATGGTAAAGAATGAACCTTTAAGCTCATTTCCCTAATATTTTAATTTCTGCACTTTGACTCCTACATAAGTGAGAGTACACCAGCATAAATGTTCTTTATTCATTATTAATACGGACGCCTTAATGCATTTCCAGGCTGTCGTTGCAGTGGGTTCTAGTACTTTCCACCAATGAGTCAATGTGCAAGTGATCAAACTGGAAACATTTTGGCAAAGCAGAAATATTACATATCAATGCGACAGCACAGATCTACCCGAGTCACCCTGGTGATAGGATCACATGCTCTCCACCGCCGTCCATGACTCAACCCGGAGGTGGGTGTCTGAAAGCTGTCACACTCAAGCATCCTACCTAATCATCCACCTACTGAGCCACTCAGCTTGGGGGGTGCAGGAGGGAGGAAGAGCAAGACAGACCGAAGAGGAGAGGTAGTTAACAAGGGAGGAGGACAAGTTGGAGGAGGAAGGAGGAGGAGGAGGAGGAGGAGGAGGAGGAAGGGGGAGGAGAAAAAGAAAAACAGTCAGACAGAGAAACAAACACTTCTGGATGAGAGGAGAAGACCGAACGTATGCAATGCGGTTTGTCCATTAGCAGATGTCCACTGAGAGAAAACACATGGAGGGACAGATAAGGATGATCTCTCTTCCTCTCCACCCCCCCCACCAACAAGGCTGCTCAGTGAGAACTTGTCGACGGCTTTGGGGAATTAGCAGCCCTTTTCTTCATGAGCGCCGCTCGCTCGGAGTATCTACAATGTGGGAAATCATTACAGCTCCACATCAGATCATAATTTAGTTTGGGAGGCAACCCGTCAGTGACACAACACGTCACACCTAGGTTGTGTCAAAACGTAATGGTCTTCTGCCCGTAGGTCAAGTTATGCTGTCTGCTGGGTCACTTTTGACCCAGTGTTTTTGAGTGCAGCTGTTCAGCCATTTCATTGGAATTTTTGCTTTTTTTAAATGCGCTGAATATAAAGTAAAATGTGTAGGGAAAAAACAGGTGCCAAGAAAATAGTGATCATTTAATCAACTGATATTAATTTAATTAAATGGGAAAGTCTCTCTTTCAAAAAACAGTATTATTAATGAATTGTGTTAAGGTACAGTTAAATCCATGTTACATGTATTTATCGGTTGCTTTGTCATTCATTCTCTTATTTATTGAAGTTTGACGTATCTCTTGGTTGATAAGAGTATTCTCTATGACACTTGTGGACCTGCCTTCTGCTAGAAGGACTACAGAGCAACAGTTCTCAGATATCTAGTCTAATAGCTCCCTCCTCTGGTTCAAAAGTGCCATGAGAAGTTAAGGTCCATTTTGGGTTTTGTAGTTGAGGTGAAACCTGTGGTTCAAGATGACAACTGATGCACAGGAAAGAGAAGACTAAGAGGCAGTGGTGGGGATCATCTGTACAGTTTTTGTCTCCTGTTTTATTTGGATGAATGAAACACTTTCAGTTACAAAAATGACTTAAAATGAACAACACTGTACAATGAACAAGTAGAGTTGTTTTTCTTTTTTTTTTTGGTTTTCAAGATAAATACACTAAAGGGCTAACTTGCTACCACAAGGGAAAAGAAGAGGGGAGGGGTGGTACAGAAAGGGAAATCGGGACTGGGGGTTGCAACCATACCTGCCCACACACACACACACACACACACACACACACACACACACACCAACTGTTGTCACCAGGGGAATTAAAGACACGCTTATTAGGAAGTTGGAAAACTGTACGTTACAGTCGACAATAAAGAGCCTTTGTGGGGGCTTGTTGTTCTCTAAAGAACAGGGAATCTTTTTGTCTTTTTTGCAAATTACTGCAGCTAACCACACCTGTCCCGCTTTCCAGCAACCCCCACCTGCTCACACACGAATGCGCCCGCAAACGGGTGGAAAAGCAATGAACTGAAGCATCCCCCCCACACACAACAACAAGAAAGCTCTTCTAGAGAAAAACCTTGAACTTTGTCAATGTTTGACAGCTAACTCTTCCTCACACGCGCACACACACACACACACACACACACACACACACACACACACACACACACACACACACACACACACACACAGGCAAACATCCAGGGGTAAAGGTCTGACAGGGAGACGGTAGGGCCAAACATTGGGTAAAACAAATGAAAAAGGGGGAGAGTGTGAGAGGAGGGGTGGGGAGGCTGATGGGAGTTAAGCGTTACTCTCTGGCAGCACGCGCAGAAAAGACAAGAACTTAAGAAGGATCGGAACAGCTACAGAGATACCAAGAGAAACTTCATTATCATCATCATCATCATTGTAGTCATCGTCATGATCATCATAATTATGAGAAGATTATTTTTCCAATGACAAATACTTAAAAATATACATTTCATCATCATCTTAATTATCATCATTATTATTATTATTCCCCTTCGGATAGTTGAGGTTAAGGCTTTAAAGACCGGCTCGCTAGGTGACGGAGGAGTTAAAGGAGAGCAAAAGGGAAGGGATGGATGTATAGAGAGAGGCGAAGGATGCAGTGGAGGCCTTGTGATGAGAAGAAGGTCAAGTTAGAGCTCTTTGGTTTTATTCTATAACATCTTACTTGCTTTGCTGTTTTGCTGGAGAAACCTTTGGACTAAAGCTATGTCATAGAAGAGAGAGAGAGAGAGAGAGAGAGAGAGAGGAAGAAGAACAGGATGGAAGAGAAGAAGAGCGTGACTGGTGTGGATGAGAGTGGGTGGAGGAGGAAGAAGCAGCTTGGGTTTGTTGTTGTTCTCTTTGTTCTACTCGCCGTGTCTCCTTTTTCTGATCTTAACGTGATTGCAATCAAGTTCAAGTTTTGATTCTTGCATTTTAAAGGAATAGTTTGACAATTTTTGGGCTTTCTTGCAGATGAGAAGATTATCTGTGCGGGAAATATGAAGCTACACCTGAACACTGGTTAGCTTAGCTTAGCTTAGCTTTGCATAAAGACTGGGCACGGGGGGTACAGCTAGCCCGGCTCCGTCCAAACATTTTCTCAGCAAAGCGAATGCATCGCTGCTCAGATACGGAGCAGGGAGCAAACGCATCAGCGTTCCTAATGCTGATGTTCTGACTGTCTCCATTACAGGGCCATGTTCTGTCTTACTTTCAGGACAAATATGCCTATACAAGCTCACCTTTTAAGATCAATAACAGACACTCATTTGCAACTGAATCATCACAGGTTAATTTTTTATGTGACTTTAAGTGTCTTTTAGTAAGCCCTTACAAGAAGCAGCATTACGCAGTGAGTCAATACTGAGCTTAGTACAGCTCTTAGTTAGCAGTAATGGGAGCTCAAACTATAAAAGAACAATTCAGTGCATCCTGCTTGCTTTGAATGTGTTGTTGAACATTCATTCACAAAGACGCAGTAACAAAAAAAGACTAAATCTGCATACCAGCACCTCTGAAGCTCAAATATTTAAAACTGAAAGGGTTTTTCACATTGCACAAAAGTCCAAGTGTAAAAATGCCAATTTGTGGTTGTGTGGGGGAGATTGGTGCTAGACTGCTAAAAGGACTTCCTGGTCTCATCTAGCCCTCTGGATGACAATTGACAACAACACATTTCTCCAGAAGTTAAGGTATTCCTTTAAAGCACATTTTATGAATAAATGAATGCACATCTCTGAATAGAGACCATGTGAGAAATATTGAATAATCTGCTGCCGTTTAAGCCTAATGGAGGAAATGGTGGGGTTTCTGAGCACTCAGGTGAGCATCAGGATTTCAGGGAGTGAGTACAACGTGAAGGATCCCCTGGCAGGGCATTGACTTTGGTATCATTCACTAAGGGGGTATCCCCCACCAGAGGCCTCTACGCTTTACCGGGTCCCTGAAACCCTGTGGTTGGACGCAGCAGAGCTCTGCTTCCTTTTCCTCCGAGAGCCAAACAACAACACAAACCCTTAGAGTTTGATCACAGGTACGCCCCTCCTTCAAACTTCCAAGGTCTCAAAACACAGCGTCTGGATGCGTCACCTAGCAACTCCGGTCTCAGCCGTTCCCCGGTTACCTGCCCTACGGCGCTCCCCGACACACCCACGGACATCAAATAGGCGCCGTACCCCCCTCATCAGGCCACGGAGGCCTAAAGGCGTGAGAGGGGGCTCGCCGACCTCGGTGACAAAGTTGCTCCGAGGCCCAAAAATGGATCCAGATTTGATTCTTGATCCGCGCCAAAGAGCAGCTTTAAGCCCACAGTCCGTGTGCGGCAGGGAGGAAGCAGTGAGGGTCAGATACGAGGAGAGGGCTGTGTTCAAAGCTCAACACAGACAGTGAGGGGGGGGGGTTCTAGGGGGACCAGGTGTGTGTGTGTGCGTGGACCAGAGCATGAAACAAGTTTGGCCCTTTGACCTTAAATCCAGTTCAACAAAAATCTATTCAATGATCTGTTACTTCCCAGATCAATCCCAAAGCTCTGCGTTAACCTGGATTAGGACAACAGCCTTTGACCTTTGACCCGGCCTTACTGCGTCTGCTCACGGCCACAAAAACACACAGTTCACATCCCGTTACCCCGATCCCCACTCGAGCCCCGCATTTTAAAGCATTCATCTATTTGGTTTTTCATCAAAGAATATGAGGTATATGATGAACTATCTCTCTTTTACATCCTACAGTGGATGAAGAAAAAACGTTGAAACCAACTTCTAGAAAAGTGAAACCGAAAACTGAAAAAGAGACCGAGACAATGTGAGAGGTACGCAGGCTATTTACGACTGGAAATCCAAAATCGCCCCTTCTCTTCTCTCTGGTCTCCTTCTTTGCTCCCCATCATGTAAAAAGCGTTGTCCCAGTCGATCTTCTTCTTTTGTGTATTTGGTTGTGTAGCTGTAAAGCTTTCAGAGTGAAAAATATCGAGAGCTGAAGCAGCACCGCGTCTCAAAGAGCACCTCATGCTGTAACTCAGGCGGTATCTCACACATAAACTATATTTATGCGTTCTCCATTGGAACAGAGTCTCAACTTGCCACAACTTTTTTCTTCTTATCATCAGGAGCAACAAAGGCATGTGTTCAGAGTGCCTGCCAAATTCTTTGTTTTCCCTTGAAAAGTCTTGCAAACGCTGAGGTGTTTATCCACACAGTGCTGCCTCTCAATATCGTGAGCTTCCCCTCCCCTTTAAGAGGAGAGTTGTCTCAGTGAGGAGGAGAATATCGTAATATCGGCCATATTCCCTTATCCAGTCCCTACAGGACCCGTGGTTGCATTTATGGTGTTATTTGGTTTAAAGAAGTAAGAAAGAACTACAGCAGGGGCAAAAACAAATACAGCACAAATACAGCCCGGTACAAAAAACTGCTAGAAATAAATTAGAAAATAAATAGCAAGGCAAAAAAAGATAAGCAATTAAATCAACCCTACCCTGAATAAATAGTACAATCAAAAGTCTAAATTGTCATTAATAATGAAAAATAAAAAAAATCCAAAGAGAGATAGTTACAATTTTTGGTCTAAAATCAAGTTATCGTCATCAATGTTTTTAGGATCTTTTTTTTTTCTCAGTCTTTTTTGTAAGTTTTTTTTTCTTTTTTAATACATTAGCAATAAGTAAGCAGTAGAACATAGATCTTTTTTTCTACAAAATCTATAGAAGCACTAACAGATACATTCCGTCTAAGAGTCAATGTGGAGAAAAGGTTTCACCTTTAAGGTGCAAACCCCACATCTAAAGTTTGGTTCATGAAACGATTCTCGCCTGTCGACTGTTTTCTGGTGTGGGTCAAACCAAAAGTTCTTTGGATACGTTGAAGTCCAACTCTCAAAAGGTCAACTTGCCCGAGGCTGCTACTGTCTGCGTTATTCTGCCTCCAAGGTGTGTATTATGCCATCTACGGGGTCAAAATGAATGACGAGACATCACGGCAGACGCGTTTCATTTTTTTGAACCACTCGGCATCACAATCACACTTGTGTAATGTTCAGACGCACAGTTTCACCTTTGACAAATTGACCCCTTTCTGTGCCCTCATGCAGAAAAGGCCGTTCCCATTCCGCTCTACTGTGTTTGGTTTGGTTCAGTATTTGGTTTGGCATTTTTAAGGTTGCAACACTTTGTTTTTGGCTTTTTGTGTGTCTTTTTGTTCTGCCAAGACAGTCTGTTTCTTTATCTAATAAAAATCTGGAAGCTAAATTTTCACAGTATTTTTTCCAACCACCTGATAAAAATCTCTAGCACGACTACGAAAAAAATAAGGAGCTCTTGTAGTAAGTAAGCGAGTACGTTATTCCAAATGAGTAATAAGCACTAAAGTACAGTACATAAAACGGCATCAAGAGACACAGCAGAGATAAAACAGAACCAACCAACAGAAAAATAAAAACAGACTTTTTTTTTTTTTATAGAAGATTTCAGTTCAGTGAGGTCATTTGCGTTTAGCTCCATCCAGGACCAGAGGGCTGAGCTGGAGAGAGTGAGAGGCAGAGGAGGGGAGGAATTGTCTGTCCTTCTTCTGTCCGCCTGTCTATCCGTCTCTCCTTCCATGCTACACAGTTTCAGAGTGGGGCCTATGCTGCAGCCCTAAAGCTGACAGATAGACAGACGGCTTCACGTCTCTCGACACCTGCATTCTGTCCTCCTCCCCTCCTCTCTCCAGCCACATTCGGTTAGGGTTCTTTTTGGTTTGCTTCTGTCATTCCTTGGGTTGTGTTTTTTTTTTTTGGTTTGGGTTTATTTTTGGTATCCTCTTACAAAAAAAAAAAAATGGTAAGCCGGCTCCCCTCACTACAGTGTGTCCCTCTTTCGCCCTGTCCCAATGTGCCCTTCTCTCTGGGGGTTTGGAGTAAAGGATCAGTTCCCTAAATAAAGCTTCCCCCCGCGGGCTTTTGGACAGGCCAGGTGGAGGGTATTACACCGGGGGGGGCTTGCGTCCTGTCCCGAGCCCCGCTGGGTCTTTATTGTGATCATATGTCTTGGCTGAGGTTTCCCAGTCTCGAGAATGCTTTGGTTTCCATTTGAGAATTAATGTCAGTCTGAGGTGGAAAATGACAGTGAAATGTGATCAATGGAGTGATGATGGAAACAGACAAATATCAGTAAACATGTCTAGACAGGCAGGTGTTGGGGCATCTATGCTGATTGAAGAGGCAGGAATGAGAGCCGGCTGTGACTAAAGTTGGCTTTATTGACTTATTTAGCCTTCAGACTTAACGGTTATTTCTTTAAATCTCCAATCACAGCCCTATTTCATACTTTCAAAATGGTTGCCACTCTTAACACGCGCCATTTTTTAGTATGTTCATTTAGCCATGGAGTCACTGATAATGGGTTATCCACAACAGGGAGGAAAGTGGTCTGATTAATAGCAAAATATGTTACTTGTTCAGGCCTTGATAAACTTGAAATCAGCTTGCATGCATGCCAACTCTATTTTGGATCCATGGCACTTGGTAAACATTTTTTCACCTACGTCATCGCTGCTCTCGCAGAACAGTCACCGTAAAAACTAAAATAAAATGGAAATGGGTGACAAAAATGCATATTATGAAGACAATGATGACAACGCAGATGAAGTGAGCCCCAGAAGCTAGCACTAAAAAGAATCTGCAACAATAAATAGGAGTATAAAATGTTACTAATAGATCATTTAAAAAAAAAATCCAAACGTTACTTCTCAAAAAATTAAAAAACGAGTACTGAATAACAAGCCTCTGTCATTGACTTATTAAATTACAAGCGGAGAGGAGAGCGATCCTATGCTCTTAGAACCAGAAGTAGGTAAAGAGACATGAAGATACAGTGTCAATCATTCATACATAAGCTCCTGGTTGGTTTGGTAACAATCTTTTACAAACATTTTTAACATGAAAAGCTATAAGAGACACATGGGCTGACACAGACGGGATGAGTCGATGACAGGATGGATTGGCTCTTGATGTCTTTGTGTGTGTGTGTGTGTGTGTGTGTGTATAAGTAGCCATAGAGTCCTGGTCCTGGATAGCTTCAGTATTTACACGTCCTTTGAATAAAGCTTTTCACTCCGTATTTTTGGTTTTTGGTATTTGGGATTTTGGTATGGTTGTCGTTTTCTTTCTATGTCATTGTGTATTCCTCCTCCACCTCCTCTTCGTGTAAATTTTTGGTTTAAACTCATCCTCTCGATTCCTCTTCCTTCAGACCCGCAGCTTTTCAAAATATTTTTAAAAAAGAGAAAACGTAAGCACAGTTCTCTCCATTTTCTTTGTCCTTGCTGCCATTCCTCTGTCACATAATAAAGTTATCTTTTGTCATTTTTGGTTTATGCACTTCAACATGTTTCTCTTCCGTGTCTTTGCTAAAGAGTCATTGGCATGTTTTCCTTTAGAGAGACGGAATGGAGCGATGCCATTTAGATATCACGGGTTATTGATAAAAAGGTCCCACGTTGCCTCCTCTCCATCTATTTGGATAGATAAAGATTTTTGGTTTCAATCTTCCCCTTCCCCCCCAACGCCCTTCTTCCCTCTTTCACTTCTTTCTCTCCCTCTCTCCTCTTTCATTCTGTGTATTTTTGGCATCGAAAGACTGGGAGAGAAAGAGAGAGAGAGAGCCAGAGCGAAAAAAAATAACGGAAGAAGGGCGCAAGAGAGAGAAAGAGATAGCTTTGGTGTGAAAGGCGAGGTTCTTGTTTCCTCCTTCCTCCTCCTCCTCTCTGATTGGCCCTTTGCGCGGTCACTCAATCTTGGCTCCGCCCAGAGAGGGTGGGCTGTGTGCCATTTCGCTGGAGGAGCAGGAAGAGGCGGGGCTAGAGCAGGGGGAGGGGGAGCAGGGTGTGGGGCTTATGCTGCTAGCAGAGGGGAAGTGGGACGCCTGGGAGGCTTTGGCCAGGGCAGCGCTGATCAGTCCAGCACCGGGGTTCTGGCCCATGTGGAGGAAGGCGGGGTGGTTGAGGAAGAGGGAGGAGGCGAGGCACCCTCCCTGGCCCCCAGAGGTCCCCAGTATCATCTTACTGGCCCCCTCAAGACTGGAAAGAGGCAGCTGGCCACCACTGGCTGCTAGGGCTGATGGAAGGAGAAAGAATAAAAGAGATTAAAGGAGTAGAACGCTGACTTAACGCTTGCCTTGGAATGTTAGTCTACTATGGGTGATGATGTTATTTGTCAACGCTAGTTGCGCTTGTAAAGGTTTTACCTTCCAACACAAATCAGGATCTGTCTTCCACTCTGAGCAAAGTAGTTTTGTTTCCTAACCCTAACAAAATCCTTTCACAACACGGTTTTGTGTATTGTTACAATTGTGATACAAGCTCATATTAAGCCTGTTCATGGTTTTAGGTATTTTTTAGAGTAACATTCAGTGCTTGTTATTGAAGTGTTTTATTTTATATTCACGGGCGATCAACACTGTCAGTCTTCCTCATTTATTTAAGTTAATGATGTCCCTACAGCACACAGCCAAGCAAGACAAAGGGTCTGAACTTGTTGAATTCAGTACGTGGGAATAATTGTCTCCACCCATTTTAAATAGAAAGCTCAGGGTGCAGTTTCTCCATAAAAAGGGCACCTGTCTGGTTTTTGGGGGAATAAAAAACAAACAAAATCCATCTCTGTGCCAATAGAATTGACCTGACTATTGTTTTATATATGTACAAATATAATCCGCTCAGATCAGATAAACCACAGCAACAAGTAAGCTGACATTAGTGGTCGGTTGCTATGGAAACGGGGTCCATGATTGGCCGTGAATATTGCTTAATGCAGAGCCTTTTTCATACACAAAATGCTACAAATGAAGGAGCCTAATAACGTATTATTACATAGCAACAGCAAAAGCATTATTCATCCCATTTAGAGAAAAGGCTTCCATATATAAAATGTCTTGTGGAAGCAATGCATTGTGGTCTGTGGAGGCAACTTTTGATAAAGCAAATGTTTGTGAGTGTTTAGCATCAAAGTATGAGTGAGTCATAAATGTAGGTCTTTGTAGCTGTGACCCTGACGGGTTGACCTAGAATGTTGATGGTCAAACCCAAATCTGCATTAAAACATCTTATGGTGAATTTTCAACTCATCAACACATTCGACCGATGATGAAATGAAGAGATGAAAGACTAAAGGTGAACACACACGCATACATATGAACTCAGCCCACACATTGACGTAATCTCTGCCACACACACACACACACACACACACACACACACACACACACACACACACACACACACACTCATCCACTTGATGGAAGGGAGTCATGAATGTTGATGGCGACATAAGTCATTCTTCCTCTCTATAACTATGTCAGCTGTTTCATACAGTAGATAAGCAAACACTGCTTATTCATCGGTGTCTCCAGTCTATCAGCACCATTTTTTCCACCTACCATGCATGACTGCATTACTGATCATCCTGCTGTAAATATATATCTCTCTCTCACCTTTCTCATTGCCACACCAGAAAGATTGAAAATTAGCTCCGCCGACGATGGGTCTGTATGGTTTGGTGGTCAGTTCTGCAGGATTGTACACTTTCTTTTTTCTTTTGCTATTCTCGTCTTATTCTCAAGTGTAGGAAGGTGTGTGAGAGGAGATGTGTCGTGCACAGTATGTGTGTGTGTGGGAGTGAATAAGTGAGAGGAGAGGAGGAGAATGTAATGCCAGAAGAAGATTTCTTATGTATTCCGTGACCCTAAGATTTCCTGAGAAATTAAATAATAAAAGTTCACCCCCTCAGCCTTGCCCTCTAAATGATATTCGGTTTATCAGTGCTGCTGGTGCTAAGCTTTTTCTTCTTTTCCTCCCCTGAAATTAACCTTTATCTTTCTATCTCACACACACATGTACAAACACACACACAACACACACACCTTGGATAGTAGCCAGGGGATTGTTACCGAGGAGGGCTTGGTTCATCCCTGTGTTAACTCCCATCACAGTGTTCCTGTTGTGTCACGCAAACACACACAGCACCATGCAAGCATATACACAAATCCAGACACACAGAGGAGAAAAGGTGAGAAAAAAGCAGGTTTAGCAGCAAGAACAAGAGGACGGTAAATGCAGCCCTGCACATATGAAGAGCAGTCGCTTGCAGAAGGTTGGCTGTACAGCCAATAAACAAGAGGTCAGAAATGCAGAAGGAAAAGAACATTTTGGAACATCTTATAAGATACCAAATTTATGTTAGAGGTGATTGAATAAGAAAGCACAGCGGCCTGCACCAAAGGATAGAGGCTGGGGCCGCTCGGCCGGCATGTGAGTGTCTCGGTCGCATTCACCTCAAGTTTGCAGCAAAATCGGTGATGTAGTTAGACACGTCACCGTTCTTTTTACCCATACGCCATAAGCTGTGAACACAAGAACCACACACACAAACGCACACAGGGTTAGAGTGCACTGCAGCACGGGGGAAGCAGTGGCCCGACGGCATGTTGGGATATTAGTGTGTGTGTGTGTTTGTCCAAACAATCACTGTGATCAACTACTTAGCCACAAACTGCAGGTGAAGCGAGGGTGACGCGGTGCAGTATTCACGGTGAAAGTGTTTATGGAAATGGTTGGTTGTGTGTACTGGACATTTGCCTAAATTAACTCAGATGTGTAAGCTGTAAAAATAGTGTAATTTGGATTAATCTCCATGGCCTAATGAACTGAGGCCTTAAACTTAAAGGATCAATCCACACGTTTGACCTAAAAGTACTTCCTCACCTTTAGTGGGTTTTATTGTGACTTAATTAGGTTTTAAAATATCCTTCCATCATGTTGAGATTTTTCCTGCCACTACATGGCGGATGGGATGGGAGCAGGGAAGGCGTATTTTCATTCGATTAGCAAGAGAAGCTCCACAAATCAGCAACACAAAGCCGACGTGGGGCTGGGAACTAAAACACATTGGGTTTTCCAGACTGTGCCTTATGAATTACTTGGAAAACAAACCTCCCTGGAGGCGAGCGGAAAACCCAGAGTTGGCAATACAATAACTGCTGTCAAATAACTGATTGGGGGAATCCCCGGCGTTGTATTGTGAGCGGATCGCCGTCTCTCACCCTGTGTTGAGGTTGAGTGTGCTGTGGCTGGGAGTGGCTGGGCTGGCCGTGCTGCGGGGAGGCGGAGGCGTCACCGGGGATGGTGCGGAGCTGAGGGAGGGGTGGGTGGAGGTGAGGCTGGAAGTCAGGGGGCAGACAGGCGACATGGTGGTCACCGTTGTGCTGAGACTGGTCACGGCCTGCGACAGCTGGCTGGACATCTGGTGGAGGGAAAGACGAAAAAAAAAAAAGTCGGATCCAGAGTTCTCAGACAGATGGAGAACTGGGGGCGTTTCATCGAATGACGTTGAGGTTTTGAAGACTACCATGTGAGGGCTGTAGCAGGGCGGTTTGTGCGCTGGTTGGGCAGTGGGGGGCTGGCTGGGCAGGGGAGGGGTGGCACTGGAGGGGTTGATGCGTTTCTCTTTCTGCCGGCGGTTGCAGAACCAGACTCGGATCACCTCCTTCTCCATGTTGAGCTGCTCTGCGATCAGCAGGATCTCCTCTGAGGTAGGCTTCTGGTTCTGCGGGACGGGAGAGACGGGAATCCTTTCAGCGCTGATATTTATCAGCAGCACAACGTTTATATCAACACAAAGAGCACAATCAGACCTCAGAAAGAGAAAACTTGAAAAAAAGTTGAATTGTCTCACCGTCATGAATGCGCGTTCTAGGGCGACGCGTACATTCGTTTCGATGCTGGTTCTCTTCTTTCTGCGGCGACCAGGAAGCCCGTCAAAGCCCATGGAGGAAGAGGACAGGGAGCTGGGGCTGGGCAAGGTACAGTCTATGGACATGGTCTCTGATAAAAGATGAGAACCGATGAGCGTCTGACTGAAGCTAACAGGGGAAAGTCTACATGTAAAGTACTGTTTGACGAGAGCTCACCTGCATCGTTCAGCCACTTCTCCAGCAGTGGCTTCAGCTTGCACATGTTCTTAAAGCTCAGGTTGAGGGCTTCGAAGCGAGAGATTGTGGTCTGACTGAAGTCGTTGCCATACAGCTTCCCCATGGCCAGACCAACATCTCCCTGGTGGAGGGATGAAAAGAACAACATTCAAAATGCATCACAGACTAATGAACTGCTAATGTCGCCTGCCAACGCACACGTGCACACTGTAGGTGTCTGTCCCTACCTGTGTGAAGCCCAGTTTGATGCGTCTCTGTTTGAAAGTGCGGGCGAACTGTTCCAGCTCCTCCAGGTCACTTGGCTCCTCGGGGTGAGAGGTAACCGAGGGCACCGTGGTCACACCGCTCACCTCCACGCACTTATCTCGCTGTAGCGGGTGTGACGTCAGTGGAGTGAAAGTGAGAACGAGAAGGAAGAGAGATAGAGACAGAAACGTTAGTTTATCGTCGGTGTTTCTTTTCCACTGACTAAAGCCTGAGAGTTTCCTCATACATGTGCTTGGAGTCCCATCCTATTTGAAGCAGACAGCAGGCCCCCTTGGTTTTGCTGAGGTAGCGAAATGAGATTTGGTGTCGATAAGAGTCCTGGGGGGGGGAAACGCACACAAATGATCCGCTTGGAATCATGACAGCAACAAAAAACAGAATCTATGTTCACAGTTTGTTTTTGCCAATCGACACCAAACACTATCCCAGTAAGAGGCCTGCGCACCTTGCTGGCCCTGCTGTGTCTGTGGGAGGAGGAACTGGGCGGAGGGCGGCAGCGAGTGGCCGGGTACCAACACCAACTGCTGAAGCTGCAGCAGCTGCTGGATGTCCTGTTCAATGAAGCGAGAGTGACGGACGGATCAGAACAGAGAGCAACAATGTGTGACTCTCGGCCGGCGCAGTCACACAAAAAACGTTATCAGCAGATTTTGGACGTACTGAAAAACAAAGAAACGGAAAACGCGTGCGTTCATGCAAGATAGAAGCTGTGAATCGTGAAGCACGCGACAGACATGTGAGGAGAACTGTTCTGTGGCTTGATACTGGTTCCTCAATCAAGCCGCTCACCAGGGAGACCGCTACGATTGGCAATCAGTACCTGGGCGGTGAGCTGGATCGGCTGGGAGAGGGTAAGCTGGGGTGGAGGAGGCTGGACGGGGGCACTCTGAGCGGTCTGCTCTTGTGTGCTCTGTCCCTGTCCCTGGGACTGCGACTGGGCCTGCTGACCCGTTTGTCCCGCCTGCTGATGCTGCTGCTGGGCTTGCTGATTTGCTGCTGCCTGAGCTTGCTGATTGGCTTGGGCGGCTGCGTGGGCAGCGTGAGCGGCGTGGGCTGCACTGGACTGCTGCACAGCTGCAGCCAGGAGCTGCGCCTGAGCCTGCTGCAGCAACATCTGCTGCTGTGCTGGCAACAGAGCCGTCAACTGGCGGAGAGGGAGAGGAAACGAGACGAGACGAGGCGGGAGAAGGAAAGAGATGGGTGGAAATGGACAGAGAGAGACAAAGAAGGAAACAAAGTGTTCAAAAAGCAGCACTGGAGACGCAAGCAGGGCAAAGCGAAAGCACAGAGTGCGTGTCCGTGGGCATGTGATGCCTGTGTGGCGGCCTTACCCCTGCTAGTTGGGAGCTGGTCAGCATGAGCTGTGTATGTTGCAGGGCCGTCTGTGAAGGGGTCGGGCCGTGAGAGAGAGGAAGGGCCGGGGACATCTCACCGCACTCCTCCATCTTATTCTATGCAGAAGACAGAGAACAGCGGCAAATGTAGAAGAACATTGATCAAATAAAATAAAAACATATATGTATCCAAAACACAAATGATAATATGCTAAATGCCCACAGAACATACCCATTATTCAGTTGCTAAAAACAGAAATTGCACCTCTCTCTGCCAGCATACTTGGTAACTGTTAAAAGCATGCCTGAAAAAACTAAATGTAACAATAAACACCATGCAGGGAACCCAGAACTCAAAATGTGTCAAACAGGTAAATTACACAAACTTACCTGGTTATACAAGATCATGATAGCGTTGATTGCTTAAAGTCTGAGTAATTTTGCATTATTGCTCATTATTAGTCCACGGTAAACTGATGAGAAATGTGTGTCTAGTCTGTCTCAGGCAATGAGAGTTTGTTTCACTCTGCACAAGGGATCCTCTTTCCACGATCAGGCATGTTTGAACAGGCGCAGGGGGCACCCTTCCAGCTAACCATTTGCATATGCAAATTTGGCAAATCTAACCTTTCGTGGACGTAGTGGCATAATAAATGTAAAGCGATTCTAAATGCACATTGTGTAGACAGAGTGCCATCATACTCTTAGGCCATCTGTTTACATTTGGGACCGAAGGAGAGTCGACACATTGTGAACCTCAACGTCAAACGCTTCAAAAGGACAATTCAATGGCAAGCAATGAATACAAAGCTGAGGCAGCTAGACTGTCTATAAACCCATTTTGGAGATTAAAACACAAAAGATGCACAAACATAACTCCAGACATATGCAGAGACATGCACAGGCAGTTTGGGAACATACACACACACACACACACACACACACACACACACACACACACACACACACACACACACACACACACACCTTGTTGCTGCTCGGGGACGGTGAAAGGGGAAAGGGATTGACTTTCATTGACTGAGCCTAGAGGAGACAAAACAGATCTCAAATCAGAAAAGAGTGCCAGCAGAATATTAAATATGATACATTGTATTTGCTTAAAGAAATTGTGGATTTATCAATTTAACATACATTTTGTATTCCTCTTGAACTAGTTTTAATGATTTTCTCTTACTTAGATTTATATTGTAAAGCGTCTTTGGGTACCTAGAAAAGCGCTATGAAAAACGAAAATATTATTATTATTATTAAGCTGCTAAAAATGTAAGGATTTGTTGCGTTGGCCTGTTTTGGTTCATTGTCAAATAAATAATCTTGGATGTTGTACTGTAATTTGGAGAAAAACATCTTACATTCAAAGAACATATTTACAGTTTTCTCTGTTATAACGGACTAAAGGATTACATTCATAACCAAATGAATCAAAGGGGTAAAAAGGAGGCCATACAAACTGCTTGACTGGCAGTGTTTTCTCTTTTTGCATTACCGATGTGGGTGAAAGAGGTGGGAGACGATGAGATTATGATCACAGGAGTCAGACGTACCTGGTGATTTGATTCAGGTCCATTCCGCTCTGAATCTGTGTGGGAGGGGAAGGAAAAAGTGAGAAAATGTATCACGTGCTGAGGTGAAAAGTAGAAAATGTCTGCTGTGGATTACATATTATATGCAAAATATGTGTGCTTTGTGTATTCTTGCACATCTTACCTGTACCCTCCATCGGTGAGTCAGCCCCTATTTTCTCGATTTCTACTGGCTTTGACATCCTGATATCTGTCACAGGAAGACACACACCGAGAAACAAGTCAGCGAAGCTCATTCTTAAATCTGTGCCAGCGATAAAACAAATGCAGCCCAAAGCGGAACACATTTAATATCGATGACGAAATGGGAAAGATGATGTCCATGTGTTTTCAGGTCACAGAGCAGGCCTACAAACTACACCACAAACAGTGCGGCTGAACCACCCACAGGTTGAATACAGTCCTCATTCATTCATTCTTTCCAATTAGAGGTTTAACAAAAGCGTAGGTTTGCCGGAGGTGTTAGCTTGTTCTAAATTTAACTTGAGGTGTTTACGTGGGGGCAACGGATCCCTTTGTGTGTCATCAGTCTGTATTGGGACAGTCCCCTTTGGGCGACAGGGAGGAAGGCAAAGGATGTACGTCTTTAAATCGATCTATTACAAAAACACATTGTGTGTGTGTGTGTGTGTGTGTGTGTGTGTGTGTGTGTGTGGGGGGGGGGTTGTGGTTTACACGTCCTTATAGTGTGTGCGTGTAGTAGTTTTGTTTTATTAATCACGCAATAGTGGGCAACACACCTGCCCAAAGGTGTTATTTTGTCTGAAACCACAAACTGAAAGACTACTTTTTGTTGGATCCATTTGAAACCTTTTTTTCTCTCTTGTTCTCCCCCTTCCTTGAAAAGCTAACACACACACACTAGCACTAGCACACACACACACACACACACACACATGCAGAGCTACTTCCCTTTTGTGAAAATATGCAAATCTGCCCAACGACCAACTAATTATATCTGGCACCTGCATAATAAACTCTGAGCCTCTTCTCTTTTTTTTCTCTCTCTCTCTTTCTCTCTCTCCCCTTTCTCCCCCTTCCTCTCCACTTTATCTTTCCTCTCCTCATCCTGTTGATTCTCACGTTTCAAACAGAAAGCGCTGACACTTTAACACACTTCAAATTTCCCCATACGCGTATGCTGAGGTTTTCATCAATACAACACACCAAATATATTTATACGGCCGAGTGCAGTTCCAACGAGCAGGTTGAGGGGGCGAGTTCTCCACCATCAGGGGGCAGCAGTGACACATGGAGCGGATGGCTGACCAGCAGCGGCCTGACGCCACTTTGAAAAAGACCATCGTCTGTCCAGCGAGGTATTTGTAAAGACCACAACTTAAAAGAGAAAATGAGCCGTTTCCTGTTCAAAAACACATTCGCTTGTGGGATTTGACACATGCAATGTCTTTAGGGGAAGGGGGAATTGGCTATCCGCTAGAAAATCTCTCCTATGCCACCACATTGGGTATAACTTGTATACACGCACACCCACACAACCACAGCAAGGGTTCCCTCAAATGCATAGACTTCTGCAAAAAGCTAATTTGGTCTTCTGGTCACTCTAATATTGGGGTTTAATGTGTGGGTTTCCAACGTTACTTAAGACTGCTGTTTTGGTAAGATTTGCCATTGTGACCATTGGTGGAACAAAAAAAAGTCAGAAGTTGCTCAATTTCGGCTAAAAATATAATCTCTTCCTCTCCAGACCAATTTACATTTGGGCTAAACGCAATGTGAAACTGTGTATTTCGTTTGTGCTCCCATCATCGATATCTGCAAAACCAAATCCACCCGAAAAAGATCGTCCAAAAACACCAAACAGCTTTAATGCGAAGGCTGCTTCTGGTCCCACAGGTCACTCGCAGGACACCCAGGGAAGGTGTGTATTGATTCATGGTTGGAATGGCCTACAGACAGTGGCATGGTGGATAATGTGGTCAGTAATACAGTGGCGGGACAGTAGATCAAGATGCTGCGTCTTTTTCTCACTTCCCCTCCCGACTTCCCCTTGTACCGGGTTGAACGCATGGTGCTAAACCCAACACTTACTGTCAGCGAGGCTATTAATATTAGCCTGCTCTCTCCCCTTATCATTGAAAACCTGCCCTCTCTTTGACAACAGATCGCTGCACACACGCTCTACTAATTTAGCTCGACACAATACAATTTTACTCAATTTGTTGAGAATAAGGGTTTAAAAAAAAATCTTTTTCCATATATCTGCAAAAAATGTGATTCATAGAAGACGCATTTTTCAAAGAACACAGCTAGATTGTGTCTATTTCATCCCTCATCCAGATGCTACTCTGACCTGACAGCAAAGCTGAGGTTAAACTTTGACCACTAAGACCAAAGATGCCGCATATACAGAGAAAGAATTTTTGCAGTATAATTCTGTGTCATGAAAAATATACGCAATGGAAAATGAACAAGGAACAACACTAAGTGGGCTGTTTCTGTCATTCTCCGTTGGGGTTTATGCCGAGATGAAACTGCTAGCAAACACCCGTAAATCCTGACTCAGGACTCGACGTCGGCGCCAGGAGAGTTCCTTGGATTTAAAGTCATCACACTTATCAACTACGGATTTAAAAAAACAAGAAAATAGAAATGTTTCCTTTTAAATTTAGCACCGAAGAATCAACAGCTTTTGCACCAGAGTGAAGAAATGAGTCAACATAAAAATTGAAGAATTAAATAAAAGAGCTGAAGAAAAATACATCTGATTGAGGGATGAAGACAGAATTTAAACTTGAAGATAACAATAGAGAAAAAAGCTAAAGGATAACTGAGATGTTGCATTGTTGGTTCAGCGTCAAAGTTGTTGTTTGTATCAATAACACCAGAGAGAAATGACTAATAACTAACTGATAAAACAGGAAATTGCTGGGATATAGACAGATGTCACCGCGGAGGGCCTTTGTCAATGAGAACAACAATTTGCAGACTCAATCTCATTTGTTGACAATAAATATCTGTGTTTTTTCTGTGTTGACTCACTTTGAGCAGATGAGTGAGGTTGTAAATGCAAGAGGCAAGAAGATGAAATGTACTTATTTATTCACATATAATCCTGGCGTTAGTTATCAAAACAGCAGAACGGTTTAATCAACAAAAACTAATGTAGAAGATGCCCCATTATTTTTAACCCATCCAAATAGATAATGGTAGTTTGTTTTGCATGAACCCGCCTGCGCTATTTACACTAACTGTGTTTCATTTGCATTGTGATGTATTCTAGTTTGTCGCAGTTTGGTGCTCGGAACGAGTCACTCGAGTCATAACAAACGTACCGAAGGTCACAGCTGTCACCATATGCGTCGACGTGTGTCTTGAATAAACTTTCAAGAATTGTATGGTAACATCAAAGACTAAAAAATATGAGCTAATTGACATTTATAAAAGTGTATATCTGGTAGTAGGTGAGAAAGCTAACAGCGTGCTATGCTTTTTGCTGACTCAAGTCACATCAAGAAGCCCGAGCTGCTCACCAAAACAAGGCCGAGGGGCAAGAAGAGGCCCATTCTGTCTATTTTATTGTTTTAAATAACAAATTCAAAACCACAGAGTTATTTAAGGATGTTCCTCTTATCTTTCTTCTTCTTTAAATGCAAGTAGCTTTGTTTCTGGGTGTTTTCAAAATGCCTTTTTTATTTGACGTACATTTTGAATTTGAAAAGGGATAAAACAATAATCAGCGTAGCGTTCCAACACCTCTAACACGCGCGCACACACACACACACACACACACACACACAGAAAGTTAAGACCGGTGTCAAGACTGCCAAAAAATCTATAACCTAAACACAAATGCATGAATGCTACTGCAGTGTTAGATAACAAAAAGACAGGTGTTTTATGACACTAATCCCAATGTTCACAAATATCCAGAACACATTTTGAGAAGCTTTTTTTCCCCCCCATTCATATAATTAAAACAAGTTTAAACACACACAGCGGCATGCTATGGACCGACCACGTGTCTGACCTTTCCCGCTGTCTGCAACATCCATCCATCCCTCCACCAATTTCTCCTCCAACCAACGCTGGCTCTTTGAAGTGCTCTAATTAGCAGAGTTTGTGGCATTAATCAACCACGTGGACACAGTTGTCTTTCTGTTTCGCACACACACACACACACACACACTCACACACACACACACACACACACACACACACACAAACGCAAAGCTTAATTGGTCTTAGTAATTAAAGGCCAGCAGAGAGAGAGAGAGAGAGAGAGAGAGAGAGAGAGGAGAGGGGGCTGCACACACAGTTACTCACCTGGCAACCACATACTGAAGAGGTCCTTTGCTGCTGTCTTGGTCATATCTGCGTTTGTGTGAGAGTGTGTGTGTGTAAAAACTCTCACTCTCACAACCTCTCTCTCTCTCTCTCAAACCAAAAAAAGAGGAGTGTATTAAACCATATGGTTGAGAGAATTTCTCTCTCGCTCTCTTGTCCACACCCACCGAGCCCCCCCTCCCGCAAAACAACAGGAAGTAAGCCTCAAAAGAGTTGTAACTGCACAGAAGAAAAAATACATTAAAAAAAAATACAAAACCGAAGCAAAAAAAAGAGAAAAGAGGGATGTTAGCGAGTGGGAAGAGATATAGAGGTGAGAGAGAGGCAGACAGAGAGAGAGAGAGAGAGAGCGCGAGGGGGCGACGGGTGCCGACGGAAAGTGATGGCGCGGCTGGAAACAGACGCTCACGCACACACACGCACCCACACACGCACGCGCGCGCGCGCAGCCATGAGAGTAAACATCACATTGGGACCACGGAGAGAGCCCCTTATCTCCAGCGCACGCGTGACACAGTGTTGCCTGTGGAACCCCGACAACGAGGCGACGGAGCGGAGTTCCTCTCGCGCGGGCGCGCGCGCGGTCTGCTTCTCCGCCTCAGCCGACGCGAGGAGAGGTGAGACATCTCCGGCTGCGAGTCTTTCTTGCCAGCCGCAGCGCCACTTTGGAACAAACTCACTGTCACAACGCGCGCTGACCGACCCACACTGTGACGAATAGATGTGGCCCCGCAGTGGAACATCGTAGACGACCCGATAGGAGCGCGCGCGCACACACACACGCACGCTCCTATGGGGGGGGGGGGGGTCTCGCCCACGAGGAGGCTGCGAAATTAGTGAAATAATCTGTCATCGGCGGAATGATGTCAAGGAAGCAGAACA